ATTCTCTTCACTCTTTCTCAGTGTTATGTATTCTCCATTTGTTGAATAACTACTTATTTTTTATTTGATGTTTGCTTTGTACTTAATTCAGTATATCATTTGGTGAGCTTAGATAAGGTGAAGGAGTATTGGTCTAAAAAATTGTATGTGCTGCATTATTATTACTATTTTTTTTCATCATGTGCTCCGCTTCTACCGAGGTAATTGTTTCTTGATTATGGTTATATTAGGAACATTTAGTTGGGAAGGTAAATACATGGGTTATGCTTTTCTCCTTTTTCTTATTTGTGACCTATTTTTATTTTTGTTTTACTTCCCTTCTGTGGCGGTTGCATACTTTTTTTGTTTATAATTGAGGACTTGGAAAAGTAATGGTTTGGTCCCATTTCTTTTTGTTTCTTTGACAAACATTCTCAGCTATATTTGTGCTTTGTTTTCTCTTGTCAATAGCTGGAAGGCGTAAGTTTCGATAGTGTGCTCAACCCCAATTTCATTATCGCCTCGTGGTGGGGCTGGTTAGCGCCGTTAACAGCATTTTTTTTTGTTTTATTACATACTTGTAGGGGAATGCAGTGTTGCTTTGGATTCCCATCCCATTGGGTAGTACATGAGTATACTTGTGGTCATACATAGGCTCTGGAGGATCCTGCGTTGTGTTTAACTTCTTTTTCTCATTTTCCTGTTAATGAGTGGAACATAGATTATCTTTTGGGACCCTGAACCTTTTCCTTTTGCTACTTGTCTTACGTACATGACGGCTGGATTAGACATCAAAGTATCTTGGTGTCGTATGAGGTGATTTTTCTGTTCTGGAATATTTTTACTCGTGTTTACTTTTACTTTAGTTTTTGTAGCGGCGGCCTTGAATACTGTGCGCCCTTTTACAGAAATAAATAAATACCTTTTTGTCTTTGACTAAATGCGAATTTTGTTTTGTTTTGTGTGCAACTACAGGGCTGTTCGCCGGTGCGCAGAGCTTGTAATGGCTACAAGACTTTGTCTTCATGGTATTTACAATTTGTAGGGCCAAATTTGTTTGCTTGATGACATGGTTTCTTAATGTTTTGATAAATTTTTGTGCACATGATTTTACTTAGCGGTTTTTGTTTTCCTTTGTGTTGTGTAATTCATGGAACAAAGTATTTATTTGGATCTCTTTAAAATTTTGTTGATGTCAATGATTTTTGTTTTGTTTTTGAGGGTGTAATGAAGCGGCCCCGTATGTTATCGGTGCGAGCTGGTGCTTATACAAGTATGTGTTATCAAAATTTTTGACATTGATAAAATGTGAGGCTAGCCCATGTAAAATACATAATTTTTATTTATTTATTTTTGTGGCACCGGACGGAATGTTTATTTTGATTCTTTTAGTGTTGTTGATAGCTGTGCCCACTTATAGTCGGATAAGTTTATTTAATACTGCCACTAATATCAATAATATCATTACCAATAAGAATAACAGTAATATCTTTCCGGCCTTTCTTATTGTATGAAACTGGCCGGTATGGATTTTACAAATGGGAAATATTTGAAGGCTAATTTTTTGTTTGCCATTTTTTTTTTGTCTTACGCTTTTGATTTTGGTTTAAAAACGGGTGACGTTGTTTTGTGGTGAACTTGAAAAAATACTAAGGGATGCTTCTCCTTATATCACTTGTTAATTTATAACATATTTTGACTTTTGTAATAAAAAAGAATTATATCTGAGGCATAACCAAGCTACCTCACAATTGATTTACATGATGGCAATATGATGTTTTTCAATTTGATGTTATACTTGTATTGTGTATGGGGGTTGCATTGGGATGTTAGCTGTAATCTAGGCCAGACAGGTTTGTTTTACCCCCCTGACGCATCTGTATTTACGTGGGGTATCTATGGGGAGTTTAAGGACTGCACTGAAATTGACTTTTTTGTTATTATTATTATTTCTACTTTGCATGGTGGAAAAGACATCATTTATTTTCAGTAGCGACTATTTTTCTCTGCTTTTTAGTTAAATTATTCTACTGAATTATTCCTAGAAACGCTTTGAGTTAGTTTAATTGAAAGGATGAATGGTTTTATTTGGCCTTTATCAAAAGAAAAAAAAGAGACATATGTGCAAATAAGGCACCATATCCGTATACATTGTTCATTAAAGCAACAGGAGTTTTTTTTTTTTTGCTTTGGCTTTGGAGACTTATGCCTTTCAACTTGAAGAAACCTGTGTAATAACCTTAGTTTGAGCACGTAAGCCTGTGTGTGTATTCGTTGTTTTTTTTAACTTGCTTATTTTGGCTTTGTGCTTTAAAATTGTTTTTATTTATTTTTATCTTTTTCTTGGGTACACTCTGATTGCTGTTTTTTTTGTTTTTTTTTGGGTCTGTTCAACAGTACCAAACGTTGTTTGGTTTTGATGTTTGGGGTCGATTTGCGTCATATCCTTCAGCTATCCCTTCGCTGCGGAAATCACGGAAACGAGAAATATGTGCACTTGTAAAAAGAAGAAGGAAAATGAAATGAAACCCTTTGTAGAGAATGATGTGCCGGCAGTTTGCTCCGTATTTTTTCAAGAAATACATTGACAAAAAACAAATAATGTCAAAAGAGTAAGGTTGTTTATTCTGACACTTTTTTTTTGCTATATACGCAACGCCTCCTTTTACAGAGTCCAACGCATATCCTTTTAAACGGGATCTGTGCTACACATGTCAGCCACCAAAATTAGCCCACTGCAAACATTGTGAGGGATCTTCAACGTTTGTCGCTGCCAAACCCATTAACAATGAAATATCAATGTGTTCTGGCGGTTATGGAGAGCGTGCCTTTAAACGAATTTGAAATATGAGCTTGAATTGTGGACAAAAGCGAGTCTTGCATTCTTCTATATTGATGCCAAAAGAGAACAGTTAAGTAAATTTTTCCAAATAAATATTTTTCATAAATATTGCTCAACAATTAGTGGCATCGCATGCTGTTGGCCTTTAGCAGAGTGGCGTTTTCAACCGCGAGCATGATAAATTATCACAACTACAACTATGGGGACAGGAAAAACCTTTTTCCGCTAGCGGCAAAGGGAGAAAACAATATATTTAATTTGAAGTCAGCTGATAGGTGCACTGAACTATGTGACGAATGTATTTTTTTCTTTTTTAAAGATCAGTGTATTAAATGTGGTAACCCACATGAAACAAGCCAGGCCTCTTCATCAGGACTTTGTTTGGGCCATCAGCCAGGTTTTCACAGGAAAAGAGAGGAAGAAACAGAGAATGGACAAATGAAACAACGATATGATCTCAAATGGGGAAGCTTCGCTTTTGATATATATATATATAAAGATCCCACGACTCCAGAAGAACGAGGCATCAAGCGAGAGTAGTGAGGACAGAATGTTTTTGAATCTGTTGAGGTGTGAGAGTCTTGGGAAGTATCAGTTAGATGGTGTTGTTTTTGTTTTTGTTCCAAAAATACTAATGAATAATTGTCTCTCATGGATGGTAAGTGGGGGACGAAACTATTGAAAGTTTTTTTTTTTTTTGCTGTTTGAGTTGATTTATAGCGTATATGTGCTTTGCCTAACCTTGGGTTTCAAATTGGTTCCTTTTACTAAAATGAATGAAGCGTCTTTCTATTGACCACGGCGGAAGTATTTGTTATGTTGTTCTGCACCATGGTTTTAGTGTTAACAGTGTTTTCTGAAAGTGGACGTCGTGCATTTGATTGTTCCCACTTAAACAAAATAAAAAGACGTAATAATAATTGATACTAATCTGTAGTCTCTGACTGCGGAGGATATTTTTCTTTTACCCGACTCCTCTGTTTGTTAAACTTTGTTTTCATGGAGTGGTTGTATTTTAGCCTTCTTGAAGTGACAGTGTAGATGGACTCGTCAAGGGAAATTGGTCCCAACGCAGTACCGGGCTTCTGCAGTGTATATGTGGCAAATATACCTCCCTCGGTAGATAGTGTAAAGTTAAAAGTTTTTTTTTCTTCTGCTGGAAAGGTTCTTCATGTCAAACTTCTGCTGGACATCGCAACAGGCATGTCGCGCGGGGTTGCTTTTATTATGTTTGAGAACATTTATGTTGCGAAAAGAGTTTGTGAAATCATGAATCGTGCGGTTTTGGATGGAAGTGTGCTTCAGGTAAGGCTTTCTGAGAGAAGTACCGGAAATTCCTGTGTTAATTCTCATGTCAACACAAACATTGTTTACATACGTAACGTGCCTGGAATTGTTGCTTTGAAAGATATGCAAAGCTATTGTGAATGCAATTTTGGACCCGTGGTAAGCGCGTCGCTGCATCCGCAATCGTGTTTGCTTGGAGGACAATCGCCCTATAATATGGTCTTTGTGCAGTTTGTGCATATTTCTGATGCGTGTCAATGTGTGGAATCAATGGATGGAAAGGCCCCTTTTCCATTTCCTTATTTGCCACATCCTTTTGTTGTGGCAAAGATGATTGAGGATGTGGAGGTTGAAAAACGGAAATCCATCATTCTTCGCTCGCGCAATCCGACGTCTAGCCCCACGTTGACGTACACACCAATCCTGGCCCAGGGCAAGGTGACCCCTCCGGTGTACGTGGATTCAACGGGTGTGAGTACAGTGATTTGTGATGCACCATCTCGGTTTATCGCCCCCGGACCTGTTGTTCCACTTGTTGTTGCATATCAGCACAGAGAAAACAATCTCCAGTTTTTCCCTGCCTTGGTAAGTCCCCCTGAAGCGGCTCTTGCACCCCAGGCGTTTCTCCCCCCAGCACATGACCCTCAACGGCTCTTCTTTGCTTCGAGCCACGGGTATCCAATGCTCCTGTGAAGCTTCAAAGAGAACCAACAAAAAAAAAGCGGAAAAAGAAAATAATAAAACAAAACAAAAAAAAATACTACCGCTGCCTGCATAATGTCGACAGTTGTATCTTGACTTGTCGTAGGAAGGAGGAAAATTCTGCGTGGAACGGCTTCGTACCAGCAGAAAGCTTGAATCATTCAACTCGCGATATTGCTGCGATGTGCAAAAAAAAAATAAAAAAAAATGGTTCCGCAGCCTTGCGAAAATGGAGGCCGCTGGCCTTGGTTTTATTTTATATTACACATAGGAGTAAAAATATGTAAACATATGTCTGCTCATACTAAGGAGTAAAGAACAAGGGGCAAAAAGTAAAGAAGGGGCTATAGAGAGATATGAGTGAATATGACAAGTGGTGTCTTTAGCTATGGCTTTGTATGGATGAATAGGCTTATACCTCTGTGTTGTTGCTGTTTTCCACTTTCTTTTTAGCATTTTTGTTTTTGCTGTGTTTCCGACTGCGGGAACACCCTCCAGCGATTGTCATGCCCTTTGCTTTATTGATTTTTTTTTTGTTTTTGAAGCCTTTGTAAGGAATGTGTGACCAGATGGGGCTCGGTATATGATAAAGCGTTTTGTTAGAGCTTCCCTATTTGTTTGTGTATAAATTAATATTGTTGTTGCCAGATATGCTGCATTGGAGGGCAGCGAAGGCACTTTTTTTTTGCTTTGTTTTTTTTTTTGCCGTCTTCGTTTTGGTTTGTTTGCTTTTTGTTTTCTTCTTCATTCTTGTTCCTCTCCTGTCGGTGGCGCTGACTGCGGCTTTTCACGAGGTAGACGGTGTGGACGCATTTGCGACAGACTCCACTTTTACTGAGCGACTCCTTCATGTGTTTTTTGATATATATATTTTTTCCCTTCACCCCTTTTTTAAAAATATTTTTGATGTATGTCCCTCCTGCGCTGGTGCCGCGGGAACAGCCAAGATGGTGAACTACCCGAAGAAGAAGACGATGCACTGCCCCGATGCGAGATGCAACGCGCACAAGAGCTTCAAGGTTGTGCAGTACAAGGCGGGTAAGGCACGTCTGTATGCGCGCGGTAAGCGGCGCTACGACCGCAAACAGTCCGGTTATGGTGGTCAGACGAAGCCCATCTTCCACAAGAAGGCCAAGACGACAAAGAAGATTGTTCTGAAGCTCCAATGCTCTAGCTGCAAGTCCATCGTTCAGAATGTGCTCAAGCGCACGAAGCACTTTGAGCTGAATGACAAGAAGAAGACCGGCAACAAGGACCCCACGTGGTAGACACAACAAACATCTGGTTTTATGTGTTTTGAGGGAGGTTTCCCCCCCCACCCCTTTTTTTTTTCGTTTTATTGTCATTTTCTCTGGGGTGCCATCCGCGTCATCGCTGGTGATCGGCTTTTCCCCGTACCAACAGGCATTTGCAGTCTGTTGTTGTTTTTGTTTTTCTATGGCCCTGCTTTTTTTTTTTATTTACGTTGCTCTGTTTCCAGCATTTGAGAATTTCACACATACCACACATGTCGTCAAACCTGGCCTACATTAATCCTGGGGGGAGACAGGCTCGAAAGGCCAGCGCCCTAGAGATAAATATGGTTGCTTCTCGTGGGTTGCAGGAGGTGCTTAAAACAAATTTGGGCCCCAGAGGAACAATGAAAATGTTGGTTTCAGGTGCGGGATTGATCAAAATAACAAAGGATGGTAACACACTTCTAGGGGAAATGCAGATTCAGCACCCAACTGCGGCTCTTATAGCACGTGCAGCGACAGCCATTGACGACATTGCAGGAGATGGTACCACAAGCACCGTACTTGTTATTGGGGAGATGATGCGGCAATGTGAGAGGTACATTCAGGATGGTCTTCACCCACGCATATTGACCGAGGGCTTCAGGCTGGCTCGGGTGGAGGCATTAAAGTTTCTTGAGCAGAGTGTTCTGAAGATTTCCGAAGAGGAGCGACGTGAGTTTTTGACAAATGTCGCCCGTTCAGTTCTTTCCACCAAAGTGGGCTCACATATGTCTGAGCATCTTGCTGAGGCCGTTGTGGATGCCGTACTTGCGATTGCTCCTGCTGACGGGAGGGGGGTTGATTTGCACATGGTGGAGGTGATGCATATGAAGCATCGACTGAGCACCGATACAAGCTTTGTCAATGGCATTGTGTTGGATCACGGTGGCCGCAATGACGATATGCCAAAGTTTTTGGAAAACGCCTACATTTTGACGTGCAATGTATCCCTGGAATATGAAAGAAGTGAGCTCAACGCGGGGTTTTATTTTAAAGATCCTGCGGAAAAGGCTCGCATGGTTGCGGCTGAGCGAAAAATTACGGATGACCGTGTCCGTGATATAATTACTCTTAAAAAACAGGTTTGCACCAAAGATAATAAGCGATCATTTGTCGTTATCAACCAGAAGGGAATTGATGGCATCGCTCTAGAGATGCTCGCAAAGGAAGGTATCTTGGCTCTTCGACGTGCCAAACGCCGAAACATGGAGAGACTTGTTTTAGCGTGTGGGGGTGAGGCAGTAAATACAACTGAAAATTTGACCCCTGAAGTGCTTGGGGAGGCTGGGCGTGTGCAAGAGTACACCTTGGGGGATGACAAATACACTTACGTGGAGGATGTCAGCAAGGGCCAGAGCTGTACGCTGGTGGTGAAGGGGCCAAATGATCATACCATCGCTCAAATCAAGGACGCCATTCGCGATGGTCTCCGATCTGTCAAAAACGCCTATGAAAGTGGCGGTGTTGTTCCTGGTGCTGGTGCCTTTGAAGTGGCTTTGCATGATCACTTGAGTCTTTTTGCTGACACCGTCAAAGGGAAGCAGAAGATCGGTGTACGTGCCTACGCGGATGCCATGCTTGTCACACCCAAGACGTTGGCGGAAAATTCCGGGCTCGATGTCCAACAGGCTCTGATCTCCCTCCAGGAAGCCAGTCGGGCAGCACGCCTACAACATCGTTGGGTGGGTCTTCGTCTCGACACCGGAGGCGCAATCGACCCCGTGGCAGCTGGTATACTTGATAACGTGATTGTTAAGAAGAGTATTCTAGAGGCGACGGGTGACATTGCAGCTCAATTGCTCTTGGTGGACGAGATAATGAAGGCTGGCCGTCGTGGTGCGGGTGGGCCTCCACCACAGTAGGGCGTATGCCTCGTCCGCTCTCTTCTCACTCCTTTTTTTTTTGATTTTTAAAAAGCTATTTGTGGTCTTTTCTCTAAAGAGGAACAATGAAAGGACAAAAAAACAACAACAACATCAGCAACAACGAGAAAGAAATGCAGAACAGAGGAGAGGAAAGAAGAGATAGGGAATGTGATTTTGAAGGTGAGTAAGCATAATCCAATTATTGGATGAATGGACGAGTGGAACACTTGCTCCGCGGTGTGTCTTCTCCGTCTCTTCAGAACGATGTGGCTTGCTTAGACCCACATGTTTCATTTGTGCTCCGCCTCACTTTTTATTTGCTTTTTTGGCTGGGTTTATTCTTTTGTTCCATTATTTGTGTCTTTTGCTTTGTTTCTGTGCCGCTCCGTTCTTGTTTGTGTTTGGGTACTCTGCGCTCGACACGAATCAGGTTGTTGAAGATACACATCCGCGTTTGGTGCAGTGAGGAAACATAAAAGACGAAACAAAGTGAAAGAAAGAGACAATGGGGAAAAACGAAAAGGAGGAGGCCCCCATTGATAAGCGCATGCAGTGGCTTGAGCAGCGCATTATTACGGCGATCAAGGCAAAACCAGTGGACACAAGAAAGCTTCTTGATAACGAGGACAGTAGAGCACAAATCAGTGAGTTTCTCGACACGGCAGATGCTCGTCATCTCTATGTATACCAGATGCCTAGCGGAACACTTACTGCTCGCATTGACCCTCCTGAGGAACTCCGGAAGAAGGGCATTTACTTCACCAAAACTAAGCGTGAAAGGATAAACGACGATCAGCATATGAAGACGACGGTGGTGTTTGGGGACCTGTCTCCTGATACACTCTCTGGACTGAACGCCATGACGCGAAACGTGTATGCACAGCTTATTAAACGTGAAAAGAAAAATGTGAGTCAGGTTCCTGATGTGTCGGTGGCGGAGCTTATGGATGACACAAATGGATTGCTGGCACAGATGTTGGTGACACTGGGCCTTAGTCAAGGTAAAACACTACTTCCGCTGCCTCCGGTGCAATTACCATCTAGAGTTAGTGATGGCCCTTTTGAGGCGGAATTCATTTATTGCCTGGAGAGCTCCATCATGGCCTGGACGACTCAGATTCGTGCGGCGATTAGTTCCTCACCAGAGGAGATGACAGAAAGCAATGCAATAAAAGACATGCCCCCTGGACCTTTGGATGAAATTGCCTTTTGGAAGAGTAAAGCGGAGAATTTGGCCAACTTGGAAGAACAGCTGTACTCTGTAAGAGCAATAAAAATTTTTGTCATTCTCCAAAAAGCTGAAAGCAGTTACTACGGTCCCTTTGCTCAGCTTATAGATGAACTGAAGGAGGCTGCTGCAGAAGCCCGGGACAACTACCGCTTTCTTAAGCCAATTGAACCAGAGTTTGAGGCCATGTGCCCTTCATTTCCTGGTCACGTGGAGTTTACACAGTTAGCTTCAGGTGGAACTTTTAAGAGACTTTTTCACTACTTGTATCTTCTTTGGACTCAATCCGGCTTCTACAATACACCAATGCGTCTGGTTGTCCTCCTTCGCTTCATATGCAATGACCTTATTGGGATGGCGGCAGAACACGTGAACATCGAGGAATTTTCCAAAAATGTGGAAAAAAAGGATGCGTTAACACGCCTGGGAGAAACGCTCGCGGTCTGTGGTCAGTTTAAGGCCGCATATTTCCACCACAAGGCTTATGCATCTACATTGGCACGTCCCTGGAAGTTCCAAAATACAGCATTTTTCTCTCGGTTGGATGTGTTTCTGGAGCGTTGTCACGATATCCTGGATGCCATGGAGGTTGCCGTGTTGTTTGACAGGATGGAAAACATTAAAGTGGGGGGTACTAAAAGTCAGATGCACACCAAAAAGGCTGAAGAAATTAAGGTTGAATTTGATGAGGCGTACATGAAGTTTTTTGGTGTGGAGTACGACCTGCTTGACGTGGATGATCCTCACTTTGACGCGGATTACGCTCACTTTCGAGCCACGATTCGAGAGCTTGAACGGCGCCTGGGCGCCATTCTCGTGACGACGATTGACGAAGCCAAAGCGATTTCCGAGGTATTTAAAGCGGTGGATACATTTGACGGTTTTACAGATCACGCGGTCCTTCAGTTGGAATGGTCCAAAAAGCAAAAAACCGTCTTGGAGGCCTTTAGGGAGGATCTTCTTTCAGTTCAAGAGGTGTTTTACCAAGGTGAATCAACAGTGTCCTACCCAAACATACCACCACTTGCAGCGGCAGTTGTGAGGTGCAGCGCGTTGTTGGCTCGAATTAACGAGTCTCACAGCCGCGTTATTGAGCTTTCCCAGGCTCTGCTTGACAGTGAATTTGGCAAAGAGACAATGAAGTTGTATGAGAAGTTGTCTTTTGCGCTCAGCAACACGATTCGAGAAAAGTACGAGGCATGGTGTACGGATGTTGGCTCAATCAGTGTTGACAAGCTGAAGTTGCCGCTTTTGGTAATGGATGAAAATAACAATTTAAAGGTCAATTTTGACCCTGCGCTTGTGAAAACGCTGCGAGAGGTGTACTACCTGGAGGTGATGAACTCTTTTGACTCACGTGATTACCAAAAGCTGGAGGTCCCTGCGGATGTTCAGGCGGTGTTTGAAAAGCGGGAAACCTACCGTTCCCAGACGATGAAACTCGAATATGTAAGTTCCACCTTCAATAGTTTTATGAGTACGCTGCGCTGGGAAGATGAAAGGCCTCTCCTACAGGAAGAGATAGATGGCTTTGAAAACATCATTCAGCGTGGCACGAATCAGGTTCGTTGGCAAGATAGCGATGATGTTGACTCCTTTATTGAGGTGGCACTTCAAAAGGTTAATGCCATTAATTGTGTTGTCATGGCATTTCACACAAATCTTCAGCGGATGGTGGACCTCCTAGAGGAACACCGCAAGGACGACAAATTTTTCCCTCTCAACCGTGCTGACGGCGCAAAGACGCTGACCGCGCATGAATTGTGGAAGAGCCTCGATGAACACATCAAGCATAGACACTGTGACATTGAAGAACGTGGAAAACAGATTCATGCCCTTCTACATGATAGTTTTTTGGCTGTAAATGCCCTTAAGCAGAGTGAGGGGGCTCCACCCATCACTGAGGACTGTGAGGCGTGGGTGGCGTACGTCAACTACGTGGACGCAACTTTGAAGAAGGTGATTATCAACTCTGCTCTCTACTCATTGAATTGTTTGCGGAATCAGGTTGATCCGGAGTGGATTGCGGACAATGAAGGCATCCCGCTTCTGGAGGTGAGGTTGTGCCTGACGAAGCCGACCGCAGGTGTTACACCATGTTCTCGCTATGAACCACACATAAGAGGCGCAACGGAAACGGAGCATTCCGTGCACAGGCTTATCAACACTGCCATTTCCAACATTGAGTCGGCGGCAGGGTTGATAAAACCTCTTATCGAGGGACAAAGCTATGCCACCGAGGTAAGTAACAGTGATGAGGTGAAACGTGTTAAGTGTGAAATTGAAGCTCTAGCTTCTCAGAATTACGAGGAGTGCGAGGAGTACCGTCACACCTTTGACGAATTTAGGCACCTGTGGGAAACAGACCGAAAGAAGGCCTTTACTGCATTTCTGGAAAAGGGTAAAGTCGTCAGGCGACGCACCAGCTACACAGAAGAGGACATTGCGAAAGAGCCTCCCCCAACGACGAGTGGTGAGTATTTTGGTGTCAGCTTGCAAGAGTTTGATCGGTCTATTACGGACTACGAGCGTATCAGCGCACGAATTAACAATACAGAGGAACGACACATCGTGAGTTTTGTCTCCATCGATGTCAAACCTCTTCGTGCAGCGTTGCGGGACATTTCCAAGAAGTGGAAGGATATGTTTTCGGAGTACTTGATGAACAAAATATCCACAGACTTGGAGGGTCTTTACAAGTTTATGAATGAGGCAGATCAAGGGCTGGATATCGAGGTGCTTGACGGGAATATCGAGTCTCTTAAGTGTGTGATGCGATGGATTAGAGATTGTCGTCGCAGGAACAAGGTGGTGATGGGCGAAGATGAAAATAGTGAAACAGGTGGAATGTTCCCTCCCATTCAGGCTGCCATTCGCATGCTGAAGAGTCATGCAAACGCGTCATCTTCGTTAGAGGTGGAACTGGCAAAGATTGAAGAGCTGGATGAGCTACGGAAACCCGCCACTGAGCAATGGGTTGCTCTCAATAAGAAGGCGTTGAATGTGCGAGCACAGAATTCCATTGTACAGGACAGAGAGGCGGAAAAGGTCAAGGAACAGGTTGTGCTGTTTGAAAAGAAGCTCCGTGAAGAGGCACAAGAATTCAAGCAAAAAAAGCTTTTTGGTTATCCGGTTGATCGTCGTACTGTCTACGATGACCTGGACGATGTCTACAAACACTTTACAGGGATCGAGAATGAGGCGAAGGAGTTGCAAAATCTTCAGGAGCTGTTTGACTTAACCTCTTCACAGTTTAAGGAAATTCGCGAATGCCGTCATGAGCTGATGATGCTGAAGCAAGTTTGGGACTTGAACGAGCATGTGATGTCTCAGTTTAGTGATTGGATGAAGTCAACCTTTAAGAATGCAGATGTTTCGTTGTTTGAGGACGAGTGTAAAAAGCTTTCCAAGCAGCTTCAACAGCAGCCAATGAAAGTGAAATCATGGGATTGCTTCAAGGGCGTAGATGAACAGGTACGAAATATGCGAACCTCGTTGCCGTTGTGTCAGTCGTTGAGCTCTCCCTCCATGCGACTACGACACTGGCAATTGTTGGTGACAACAACAAAACAACCCGGTAATATTGACCCGGAGGCAGGCGATTTTACGCTAGAGAAACTGTTTGCGCTTGGACTGCACAAGTTCTCGGAGGAGGTCGCAAACATCGTTGAAAAGGCCGACAAGGAGTTGAGAATTGAGACAAATCTTAATAAAATTATTGACATTTGGGATAAGATGGTGTTCACGTACACGTTGGACGAGGACCTCAACACCTACCTTTTGGGCTCTGTGGACGATGTGGTGGAGCAGCTGGAGAATGACAACAATGCTCTTTCTTCCATGCTTTCAGATCGTTTTGTGGAGTACTTTTATGACAAGGTCATACACTGGCAAAAGAATCTTGGGGCCGTTGACACCTGCACCGGAAAGTGGGTGGAGATACAGCGGCAGTGGATGAATCTATTCCCCATCTTTATTCGCTCCGCAGACATCAAAGAACAACTTCCGGAAGAAACCAATAACTTTGCTGAGGCGGACCGCGTTTTTAGAGCTCTCATGAGTAAGGCACACAAGTACACCAACGTCATTGAGGTAATATGCAGTGACGTTCTAAAGACTGATATGGGGCGAGACGAGGAACTGGATAGCACGCTAAACTATATTCAAGATATTTTGGCAAAGTGCGAGAAAGCTTTGGCAGACTACTTGGAAACCAAGAGAAAGATTTTCCCACGATTCTTCTTTGTGTCTGCAACAGATTTGATTGATATCCTCTCCAAGGGTTCAGACCCAAAAGCAGTTATGGCGCACATGAGTAAAATTATTGACGCTGTTGATACCTTTACCTTTAGGAATGATTCCGATCCGCACGCGGATGTAAAGGACACGTATGGAATGATTTCTGTACAAGGGGAAACTGTGAGTCTTGCAGAGGATTACACTTGTGAAGGTCCCGTTGAGGTCTGGCTTAATGGGATCGTTGGTGCCATGAAGAAAGCGGTAAGAAAGCACATCAAGGAAGCAAACACAAGTTACATTGAGAAACCAAGAAATGAATGGATTTATCAATATCCTTGCCAGGCAATTATTGTGGCCTCACGTATTTGGTTTACCACGGAAGTTCATCAGGCATTTATTCAAATTGAGGAAGGTAATGATCTTGGTATGAAGGATTGCTTGAAGAACCAAAAAAATCAGCTTGATAGCCTTATTAAGGAGGTCTTGATAGATCGCACTTCTAATGAACGTAAAATGCTTGTCCACCTAATCACCATCGATGTCCACAATCGTGACATTGTGCAGAGTATGGTGGATGAACGCACTGACGCCGTGGATGCCTTTATTTGGCAATCCCAGTTACGGTACTACTGGGATGAAGCTAGAGGAAATGAGATTCGTATTGCCGATGCGGAATTTATTAACGGCTATGAGTATATTGGTCTTTGTGGCTGTCTTGTTATCACGAAGCTCACGGATCGTTGCTACATTACTCTTACACAGGCCCTTCGGCTGAAAAAGGGAGGAGCCCCCGCTGGTCCAGCAGGAACCGGAAAAACAGAGACGACCAAGGATCTTGCACGAAATATGGGTATTGCGTGTTACGTGTTTAACTGTTCAGATCAAATGAACTACATCACTTTGGGACAAATTTTCAAGGGTCTTGCTATGTCTGGTTCTTGGGGTTGCTTCGATGAGTTCAATCGGATTTCCATTGAGGTTTTATCCGTCGTTGCTACACAGGTTGGTTCCATCCTAAATGCATTGAAAGAGCAAAAGCAACGGTTCCGCTTTATGGATGAGGAAATCTCGCTTATCCCCTCCGTGGGTATGTGGATCACAATGAATCCTGGGTATGCTGGTCGTACGGAGCTTCCCGAAAACATTAAATCTTTGTTCCGGCCCTGCGCCATGGTGGTTCCAGATCTCAAAAATATTTGCGAGATCATGTTGGCCGCTGAGGGATTTGGCGATGCGAAGGACCTTGCGCTGAAGTTTGTGACTCTTTATCGCCTAAACAAGGAACTTCTTTCGCCCCAGGACCACTACGATTGGGGTTTGCGTGCTGTTAAGTCGGTGTTGTACATTGCTGGTGCCTTGAAACGTGGTGACCCGGACGTTCCGGAGCGTAATGTTCTTATGCGTGCGTTGCGTGATACCAACATGGCGAAGCTCAGTAAAGACGATGTGTACGTGTTTATGGGACTTATTCGCTCTCTATTTCCCAATTTGGAGGTTCCAAAAAAGAACAAACCCGACCTTGTGGCTGCCTGCAAAGAGGTTTGCCGCGAACAAGGCAATCTCCCCGGTGAAAACGATATCTTTATTTTGAAGTGTGTGCAGTACGAGGAGCTGCTACACGTTCGTCACTCTGTTTTTGTGTTGGGGCCGGCGGGTTGTGGTAAAACAGAGTGCTGGAGGTGTCTGCAGGGAGCCCTCACCAAATTACACAAGGATGAGTGGAAGGCGAAGGCGGTTTCTTCTTGCCTAAATCCGAAGGCTATTACCTCCAATGAGTTGTATGGTTATTTTACTCCTAATAAGGAGTGGCGCGACGGCATCTTGTCTTCAATATTCCGTGAATACGCCTTGGAATCAAAGAAGAAGCGCAACATGAAGTGGATGGTGCTTGATGGTATTATCGATGCCGAGTGGATTGAGTCCATGAATACCGTGATGGATGATAATAAGATGTTGACGCTGGTGTCGAACGAACGTATCCCACTGACAGACTCGATGCGAATGATATTTGAGGTGTCCCACTTACGCAATGCCTCACCGGCTACTGTTTCGCGTGCGGGTGTTGTCTTTATTAACGAGAGTGACCTCAGTTGGGGTCCTTTTAAGGACAAATGGATCGCCACACGAGACAAACGTGAGGGGACTATGTTTGATAGCCTCTTTGACAAGTATGTCCCGTTTGTTTTTGAGTTCTGGAAGCGCAGCATGAGGCCGATAGTGTCTATTATGGACATAAATGTGGTGCAGACCATTTGCTTTATCTTGGAGGGTATTTTTGCTCAAATGCCCCAAGAAGAACTTTTCAAGCACCCAAATATTTTTGAGGTACATGAAAAGTATTTTGTTTTTGCCGTTATTTGGGCTTTTGGTGGCCCGTTGCCAGGCTCGGATGGGCGCATTGACATGCGGATGAACTTCTCTAACCAGTGGAAGAAGGAATTCCCGAATATGAAGATCAGCGATGTGGGGTCGGTGTTTGACTTCTACGTGGACAAGATCAAGGACGAAAATGGCATCTTTCAATACGAGTGGAGACCGTGGAGCGATCTCGTTCAGCCGTATGTTCCTGACCCCGACAGGCAACTCTCCACCGTGTCCGTGCAGACAGCTGATGGTGTACGTATGTCGCATCTAATGAGTTTGCTAGTGGACAATGCCAAATCTGTCATGCTTGTTGGAACAGCAGGTACAGGCAAGACAAATTTGATCATGTCGAAGTTGCGTTCACTGGACAGTGAACATGTCTTATTTCGTGTCATTTCCTTCAACGCCCGTACCTCTTCAAGTGGTCTTCAGGCTGTGATGGAGCAGTCATTGGAGAAGCGCTCTGGACGAACATATGGTCCATTTAACCGTAAAAAATTGGTCTTCTTCATGGATGACATGAACATGCCTGCCCTCGACAAATACGGCACACAGGAGGCTATCGCCCTCCTTCAACAGCACGTCAACTACGGTTTCTGGTACGACCGCGTAAAGATTATACAGAAGGAGGTGGTGGATCTTCGCTACGTTGGTGCCATGAACCCCAAATCCGGGACATTCACCATTTTGGATCGTCTTTTAAGACATTTTGCGGTCTTTTCCACAAACATGCCTGAAAGAACAGACCTGATTAGCATTTATGGACAAATTCTTCAAGCGCATACACGTAAGTTTACACGGGATATTCGTGACACAATGACGACACTTATTACCAATGCCACTATTGAGCTGCATTACTTGGTTTCCAAACAGTTTTTCCCAACCGCCATCAAATTTCACTATCAATGGAATATGCGTGAAATGTTTAACATTTTCCAGGGACTGTGTAAATCGCACCCGAAACTCCATACTACAACAGGGCAGTTTGCACGGCTTTGGGTTCATGAGTGTAATCGTACCTTCCGTGATCGCATGGCAGATGCGGGTGACTTGGCCCGTTACCATACATTACTTTTTGAAGTCATTGGTCGTGCTGGATTCCCTGACTGCAATCCAAAGGAGTTGTCACAGGAGTCATCGCTTTGGGGGCCCTTCCATACCACTCCAGAGGGAGAAGAGAATGTGTATGAGGAAGCCGCCCTTGATGCCGTGCAATCCTTTTTAGTCAAAAAGTTGGATGAATACAATGACAACTATGCTCGTATGGATCTTGTATTATTCAACCAGGCTGTGGAGCACATTTGCCGTATTGCACGTATCACTTCTAACCCACGTGGTAATGCACTGTTAGTGGGTGTTGGAGGTTCTGGTAAGCAATCTCTTGCGCGACTCTCATCCTTTATCAATGGTCACGACATTTTTCAGATTTTGGTGACAAGCAGCTATGGTATTGCCGATTTCCGTACGGATATGCAAGAACTGTATCGCAAGTGTGGTTTGAAGGGTTATCCCTTTGCATTCATCATTACCGACACCCAGATTGTCTCGCAAGATATGTTGGTGTATCTTAACGACATGCTTTCCAGTGGCAATGTTCCTGAGTTGTTTAACCAAGATGAACGAGACGGTGTTATTAGCTCCATCATGAACGAAGTCAAGGCGGTTGGTTACACAGACTACTCAAACCCTGATGTATGCTGGGAATATTTCATCAACAAGGTGCGAACCAATCTGCATATTATCTTGTGTTTTTCGCCCGTGAGCAAAAATTTTGCGACTTGGTGTCGGCAATTTCCTGCGCTTGCCAATACGACTGTGATTGATTGGTTCTTGCGTTGGCCAGAGGAGGCGTTGCGGTCTGTCGCGCGGAGGTTCTTGTCGGAAATTGAGTTGGGAAGCCCGGAAGTGACGCAAAACATCGCGGATTTTATGGCCTTCTGCCAAGAAAAGGTCACAGCGACATGTGAGGAGTATCTTCTTCAAGAGAAGCGGCACGCGTACACTACTCCTAAGTCTTTCCTGGAGCTGATTGCCTTTTATAAAGAATTGCTTAGGAAGAAGCGTGACGATCTGAATGACAGGGAGGGGCGCTTGGTTAGCGGTATTGCCAAGATTAAGGAGGCTGGGACTCAGGTGGCGGCACTACAGGAGGTTCTACAGAGGGAAAGTGTCGAGGTTGAGGAGGCACGGCAAAAGACTGCAGCCCTGATGGAGACGGTGGGGAGGGAAAAGACTATTGTGGAGGAGCAGGGCGCAATTGCCGCTAAAGAAGAAGAAAAGACGAACAAAATTGTCGCTGAGGTGGGCGTCTTTGAAAGTCAGTGTGCTGAAGATTTAGCAAAGGCAAAGCCATTGGTAGAAGAGGCTCTTGCTGCCCTTGATACGCTTGATAAGGCCTCTATTGCGGAGCTCAAGAATTTGGGCAAACCCCCCGTGGATGTGCAAATGGTTGCCATATGTGTTCGGGTTCTTACCTCTAATCCTCGTGCAATTCCCTCAGTGAAGAATCGGACCTGGGCGGAGTGCAAAAAGATGATGAATCAAGTGGATCGTTTCTTAGCCGAGTTAAAAGGGTTTGATGTGAACAACATCCCGCAAGTGTGCATCGATCAAATTCAAATATACATTACAAATCCTGGCTTTGATCCCGAAAAGATTAAAACGAAATCGTTTGCTGCGGCTGGCTTGTGTAAGTGGGCCATTGGTATCAACAAGTACCATTTGGTGCGTTGTGAGGTTCGTCCTAAGGAGGAGAGGCTGGCGGAGGCCCAAGAGCGCTTGCATCAAAGTAAATCCGCCTTAAAGAAGATTCAAGACAAGGTTGCGGATCTGAACGCCAAACTTGGAGCCCTTATATCTCAATACAATGATGCGGTGGAAGCCGCAAACGCCATTGAACAAAAGGCAAAGAAAACACAACTGAAAATGGATCTTGCTCAACGTCTTGTGTCTGGTTTGTCCGATGAAACTGTCCGCTGGGGTAACACCATTGAACAGCTTCAGGTCGCCAGCAAACTTTTGGTGGGGGATGTTCTTTTGGGAGCCTCGTTTGTGTCATATATTGGTCCCTTTTCAAAGGCTTTCCGTGAGCGCATCGTGACTGAGGATTGGGTGCCAAAGGTGAAGGAGCTGGGGATTCCCATGACTGAGAACCTTGATATTACCATGAATGTTCTCACAACAGAGGCGACGGTTGCGTCGTGGAACAATGAGGGTCTCCCTTCCGACATGGTATCTACGGAGAATGGCGCTATTTTAACAAACTGCACCCGATGGCCTTTGCTGATTGATCCGCAACTTCAGGGTATTAAATGGATTCGAACGCGTGAGGAAAAGAACGGACTGAAGGTCATTCAAACAACACAAAAGGGGTGGCAACGAACACTTCAGACATGCATTGAAGAGGGACTTCCATGTGTGATTGAATCCTTGGGCGAGTTTATTGAACCTGTCTTGGATGGCGTGCTGAGTCGACAGACGTTTAAGAAGGGAGGTCGTGTCTATATCAAATTGGGTGCAACAGAAGTGGAGTATAATAACAAATTCCGTTTGGTTCTGCAGACAAAACTTGGCAATCCGGCGTATGGTCCTGAGGTGAATGCTCAAACCACGTTAATTAATTTTATGGTCACCGAAGCCGGTCTTGAAGATCAGTTGCTTGCCGTCGTTGTGAATCAAGAGCGACCAGACCTTGAAAAGAAGCGAGGAACTTTGCTTCGTCAGATGAATACCATGACCATTGAACTGCAGAATTGTGAAGATGGCCTTCTCTATGAGCTAACAAACGCCAAAGGTGATATTTTGGAAAACGCTGTGTTGATTGAGAATCTTGAGAACACAAAGAAGAAGGCGAAGGAAATTAATATTTCTTTTGCACAAGCCGTTGCGACGCAGAAGGATATTGCTCAAAATCGTTTGACGTACACCTCAGTGGCTGTGCGTGGGGCATTGTTGTTTTTTCAAATTGATCAGCTGTGGAAGATTGATCACATGTACCAGTACTCTTTGGAGGCCTTTATGGTGGTCTTCAACAAGGCCCTAAAGAAGGCTGTGCATCCTGAGGAAAAGAGGGATGTTAAAGCACGTGTGGAGAATGTGCTTCAGTCGATTATGGAGTGTGTATTTGCATACGTTTCACGTGGTTTGTTTGAGCGACACAAACTTATTTTGTCCAGTTTACTGACTTTTGCGATTCTCCAACGCCATGGGGGTATTGACGTGAAGCAGCTTGATTTTCTCCTGCGTGGAAAAAAGAAATTGGGTGTACCACGCCCCGAAACTGTTTTGGAGTGGTGCCCCGAACCCAACTGGGCGGCTGTGCAGGCGCTTGCTGATGTTGAAGGATCGGTACCGCCATTTAACATTCTACCAAGTGATATGGCAGAAAGTAATCGCTGGAGACAATGGACAGAGACGGAGAAGCCTGAGTTGGAAAAAATGCCCTCGGAATGGAAGAATTTGACACAATTCCAACGTTTACTCGTACTGCGTTGCCTACGCCCAGACCGCCTGACTGCTGCCTTGGAGACTTTTGTGTGCGACAGCATTGGACGCTTCTTTGTCTCTGACCAAACTGTAGACATTTCTGTGTCTATTTCGGAGTCTACCACGACAACGCCACTATTCTTTATTCTTTCCCCTGGTGTGGACCCTGTGCGTGCCGTTGAGGAGGCTGGCCGGAAACTGGGTTACACGTATGACAACGAAAAACTCTATAACGTCTCACTTGGTCAAGGCCAGGAAATTGTGGCTGATCGTGCACTGGAGAAGTGCTTCCTTGAAGGCGGATGGGCGCTGCTGAACAATATTCATCTAGTTCAGAAATGGCTTCAAACCTTGGAGCGGCGTCTGGATAACTACGCGGAGATTTACACTCGAGTGGCTCAACAGAAAAAGGAGCGGGATGAAAAACGCGCCGCCGCGAATAAAATTTTGCATCAGCCAGACGTTGACGGAGAATTGGCGGATAAATTGTCCTCCAGAGAGAATTCTAGGTCATCCATTCCAGAGGGCAGCTTGGTAGGCGAGGAGGAGCTGGAGGTGTCGACACGAGATGGAGATGAGGAAAGCCAAAAAGGTGAGGCTGACGTTAGCAATGATGAGGCGCAAAATGAAGATGAAGATGACGATGATGATATCCCATTCGAGGGTCCAAAGGGGCATCCGGAATTCCGTGTGTTTTTGAGCGCTGAGCCCTCCGACGTGATTCCTATTGGTATCCTCCAGCGTTCCATTAAACTCACCTCTGAACCACCGACGGGTATTCGATCCAACATTGTTCGAGCGATGACAAATTTTAACGACGAGCCCTGGGAGAGGAGTGCAAAGCCGATGGAATTTCGTTGCATCATGTTTTCCATGTGTTTCTTCCATTCGGTGGTTGTGGAACGCAAAAAATTTGGTCCGCTGGGGTGGAATCGGGTGTATCCTTTCAACGCGGGTGACTTGACCACATGCATGGAGGTGGCGGCAAACTACATTGAGGACCGTCCAAAGGTACCATGGGAGGACTTACGGTACGTCTTTGGTGAAATTATGTACGGGGGGCACATCACAGACGACTGGGATCGTGTGTTATGCATGGCGTATCTTCGAACTTTTGTCGTACCGGAGTGTTTTGATAACCTTCAACTGGCACCTGGATTGGAAGTGCCTGCACCGATGAGCTATAATGAATATATGGATTGGCTAATCAACAGGGAAGATTTTCCACAAGAGTCACCTCTACTTTTTGGTCTTCATCCGAATGCTGAGATTAACTACCGAACAGTTCAGGCAGATGTTTTGTTCCGGACGATTAATGAGTTGCAACCAAAACAGCACACTGGAGGTGACATGCTAAGTGCTCAGGACGTTGTGCAGCAAAAGATTGATGAACTGCGTGAACGTCTTCCTGAGCCACACAATCTTCAGGATTTGGCAGAGCGGCTGGAAGATGAGCGTACTCCGCAACAACACGTGTTTTATCAGGAGTGTGAACGCATGAATCTTCTTATTATTGTCCTAAAAACCACTCTTGAAGAGCTGGATCTTGGTCTTAAGGGTGCCCTCTCAATGTCGGCGGCTATGCAGGTCTTGTTTGACGAGATTTTTCTGGACAAGCTTCCTGCGGCTTGGGAGAAAGTTTCATTCCTTTCCCTACGCGCACTTGGGTCATGGTTGGAAAACTTCCTTGTCCGAAATGATCAACTGGTAAACTGGACAGGGGAGTTGCAGACACCCAGGGTAACGAACATTGCTCTCTTTTTTAATCCCATGTCGTTCCTCACGGCTATCATGCAGACGACCTCGATGATTAACAGCTTTGACCTTGACCAGATGTCGCTGGTAATTGATGTCCTAAAGAAGTCTGCGGATCAGATTGAGACGAGCGCCCGTGATGGATGCCACGTTACTGGTCTCTCCATGGAGGGGGCCCGCTGGGATACTGGGCTGGCATGCATTGAGGAAAGCAGAATGAAGGAGCTCTACCCCAAGATGCCCATCATGACAGTGCGCTCCCTGCCCCTGGCCAAGATTGACCGCCGTGATCAGTACGAGTGTCCGGTCTACAAAACACAACAGCGTGGACCCGGTTTTGTGGTTGGCTTCTGGCTTAGGACGAAGCAGCCAGCAAGGAAATGGACAATTGCTGGAGTTGGTCTTATCCTTGATGTCGTCGAGTAGGAGGAGAAACGTTTTCACTTTTTTTCTTCATGAAGTGTGTGTGTGGGTGGGTGGGGGTTGTTTTTTTTTTTGGCACCACCCACCAAAGCAATAAAGAAAATGATGAATGAGAGACTATTGCACGAATGTATGTATAGCGGGATGTTTATAAAGTATGAACTGAATTGCTTTGAAAGAAAGATGTAAATAGCTTCAACTTACATCTCTCTCTTCCAGTTTGTCCCTTGCTTCAAGGGGCAAATTTTATCCACTTGAAAGGTATGCGTGTGCGTGTTGTGGGTGGAGTTGGCTGTAGACATGTGTTTATGGTTGGAATTTTTTTTTTTTTTGCCCAAAGAGACTTTCCTCTCCTTTTTATGTTGCGACGGCTTTTCAGGCCTACGCACACGGAGTTGCTGCATACGCTTCTCTGGGGCCGTGTTGCACGGCTCACGAAACGAGGGGTCGTTCAGCAGGCTGGTGTTCCAGAGCCCCGTCCTCCAACTGCTCCAGCCTCTTTGCCAATGCCGCAAGGACTGGTGCCTAATTTTACTCGACCACAGTTCAGTGCATTTCAGCAGCCCAGCGTGATGGTGTTGCTGGCAAGGGCACAATACGCTCTTTTCACGCTTGGATGGAATCCCACGGCGGGTGATTTTGCCCTCTACTGCGCAACCACGAATGAACTCGTGTGTACGCAGAAGGAGATGCTATGGAAGGCGGCAATGTGGATGGAGGAACGCATAGGGGATGATTTTATTGCGGGTATTATTTTTCCTAGTGATGGTTCCATTCCCCTCAAGGACGCGGCAGCCCTGCTGAAGGAAAAGTCTCGTAGGCGACTAGTGTTGGCCCCAGATACGTGGGGTATTGCCTACTTGATATTAAAGAGTCAGCAAGAGTTTGTGCGAGGTTTGAGTATTCCTACTAGCCTAGAGCATGCGGCCTTTCAACTGACAGGGACGGTGTATAATCCCGCCGTTACCGACCCATCCGTGTTTGATTTCACAACAGGATCATATACTACTTTAGGTTGCGCCACTTCTGTTTCTGCTGCACGCGACGCTCTTGTTAACTGGTGTGTTCTGTTCATCGTTCACAAGCGATTTGGTACAAAGGGTAACCGAAAGGTTATGGACCCTATTGACCAGATTGTACGACGTGTGGTGAAGGCAGTCAATGTGTTTGTAGTAGACATTGATGTGAGGGTTGGGAAGGGCACTATTGCGGAGGGTTTTACGATGATTGTGACAATATACGATGCCCAAAAGAGAGCTCAGACGGTTCACATGATTCGTAGTTTGGCAGAAGAGACCACAAAGCGCAATGCGCTGAATGGAATACTGTACGGTGAGGGCACCTCGTCTATTTCGCTTTTTGTTCCTACAGCCCGGACGAGGTCGGCGCAGCTTCTTGCCTTTGCTCGCAGTTGCCGTCCATCATGTCCGTTTTTTGCAGCTGAGGTGTCAAGTTTGGCGCAGTTTTTTGCCGGCACTAAAGTCGCCGCCGGTCTTGACGAAGAGAAGGACCCACGCACCACATGGGCGAGAATTCGCTCCAATTGTTTTCCAGAAAAAACCTCTCGCAAAGAGGAGGAAGCTCTTGATAAAAAGTTGCAGCAAGGCTTCACAGCGCTTGCCAATAAACTCTTTTCAGATCGCCTGCACCGAGTTTCTCCGGCGCTGATGTCAGCCGTGAGTAGTATTCCTCCACAGGAGGAAATTCAGAAAGCACAGAGGCGCGTCGAGTTATTGGAGGAGGAGGCACGCAATAATCCGGTTCCACACGTGACGCATTCTGCGTTTCTGAACAATGTCAATATCAATGATGCCGAGGTTGTCTTTAGGCTGCAACAATGGCGCTCGAGCATCTATGAAAACCCGGAGCGGCTTCAGCGTGAGCAGCAGGCACTGAATGGACTGAAGCGTTATTTGGTGCTTGACCTAGAAACGACTACGGTGCGACGCTACAAGCGTGTGGCAAACCCTTTTACCAAGGAAAATTACGTTGTCCTTTCTGGGGCCCGTGACTACACCGGGAAGGTGTTTATGGGAGGTCGCTACTTTGTACGAAACATTGCCTTGCGCTACGATGACTTTGACGTGACAAGTGCCTGCAACCTCGTTGAGGGATCGTCAAAGTACTCGCTCTTTTTGCCACCTCTTGATGACTACGACGTGATTGTGGGTCATAACATTAAGTTTGACTTGCTACACATCTGGCGGGATGCGGAGCTGCGTCGCTTTCTCAGTCGCGGCGGAAAGGTATGGGACACAATGTACGCAGAGTATTTGCTCACAGGCCATGAGGTGAAACTTGGCCGCGGTGCTGGCTTGGAGGAGGTCGCGAAGTCATACGGTGGTCAGACCCCAAAGTTGGACGCTGTGAAGGAAGCCTGGGCAAAGGGCAAAGAAACATACCAGATACCGTATGCATTGCTATCCGAGTACCTGCATGGCGATCTGGAGAATACAGAGCTTATTTTCCGAAAACACATGGAACGCGCCTTCACGCAGCGGCAGGTTATTATCTGTGTGGCGCGAATGGATGGCCTTCTTTGTACGACGGAGATGGAATATAACGGTCTGAAAACCAACGTGCAACTCGCCGTGGCGCAAAGCAACGAACTCATGGTCAAAGTGATGGAACTTCGAAACCACCTGGAGAGTGCTATTCCCAAGGAAATTCCGGTAGACTGTCGCAAGTACTTTAACTGGTCATCCAACCAGCACCTTATTACGTTTTTCTTTGGTGGTAAATTAAAACTGAACACAAGCGCCCGCGAAAGCAAAGTTTTGCCTGGAGAAGCTTTTGATCGTCACACGCTGTATGTACCGGCTGAGGAATATACGTCGGACCGCTTCCCAAAAGGGGTCTTTTTTCGTCCACCGGTGCACGTGCTTGGTCCTGCGGACTGCCTTATCGCAACCGGCGGCTCACTGGACAAGGGAACAAAGATGTTCAAGACCTACTATGAAACCTATGTGAAGCAGGCTGGGTTTCGTAAGAGCTCGACTATGACAGATTCGCTAAGTCGTGAGATGGTCGCTGTCTCAAGGACAGAATCTGACAGGCGGACCGAACCTGAGGCTCTCGCTAATTTACTTCCCAGACGTCACCTGTTTTTATTCGCAGGGATCACTGCCACTGTGGAGGGAAAGATAGGCAAGTTTTTTCTTAAAAATGCAGTGACAGGGGAATCTGTGACGATTCTTGCCGATCACAAAGATAAAGTTGCCCGGCTTCGCGCCTTTATAGAACAACAGGTGATATTACATACAGATATGCTACTTCCTGCAGAAGAGGAGAATGATTCCTCCCCATCTAATATGAGCGCCTTTGTAGACGCGCACGTTACCATTTTGGCCAGGGATGCACCCTTCTCCTTCACAAGGCTACTGCACTCTGATTCAGGCATGAAGGAGTATCTGGCGTCGCACGACGGCCTCCGCTCTGGCACAGCAGATATCAATGAGCGCTACGTAATTACTTTGGCGGACACGGTCGCCGTACTTGCTTACTACCGACACCTTTACGGCACCCAAACTGAGGCAGCCTGGAGGTCCCGCGGTTCCGGAGATGAGTCCAAACTTGTGTATCCTTTACGGGCCTTTCCACGCCCTGGCTCCTCCAAGAATGCCACGACGGAAGCCTTTAAAGCTCAACTGCTGCGAGAGGCCGCCATGATACCGGAGGATTGGTGTGATTACTATATTGACGTTTTTCTCCACATTGGCAATGCGGCACTGCAAAGTGAGGCAATGGGCCCCGAGGCGACAGCGAAGAAAACGCGGAAGTCAAAAAAAAATAGCAACAAACGCGCAACAGACACTCTTCCAATTCTTCTCCGCGACCGCCATGCCTTTGTTGCCTACCACAACTTGCTCCCCGATGAGGAGCGCAAGCGGTTGGCGTTGATGACGTTGATTGGTAGGACATGCGCCTCCGTGTACGATGCCTTTGCGGTGCAGTGTGCTCATGATGATGTTGTGGAGGTGATGATTCGTGGACGTCTCGCGACGTATGTTCCGAGTCAGCTTGACGCGGAGCAGGTGATGCGCAAGTTTCGAAGTGCAACAACACGACAACTGCAGGTAGGGGAGGATTCACTGAACTATTTTAAAAAGACCCACGGGGACAAGACGGCCGAAACCATTTTAGAACTACGCGCCATGGAAAAACTTATTGGTACGTACTACGAAAATACAGATGATGGGACGGGGATGGTCTCCCTTGTGCACAGCGTCGACAGCTGCATTCACCATGAGCTAATACATAACAAGACAAACACAGGACGTCTTGCGAGCGCCAATCCCAACTGTCAGAATATTCCCAAGGAAGATAAATCGCCCTTACGAGAGATGTTTGTTAGTCGTTATGGGGAAAAGGGAATGTGCATAGAGGCGGATTATTCGCAGCTAGAGGTTGTTGCCTTGGCTGTGCTTGCGAATGATTATCAAATGCTTGAGGATCTTCGATCGAATGTGGATTTCCATTGCAAACGTGTGGCTATGATGCGTCCTGACTTGCCGTATATGGAGGTTCTACTGAGGGCGAAAAAGAATAAGGAACCTGAGTTTGTAAAGTTGCGTCAGCAGGCCAAAATATTTTCATTTCAGCGACAGTACGGGGCTGGTGTGAAAATGATTAGTCAAAGCACTGGGCTGACGCAAGATCAGGTGCGCCATCTCATCGAAAAGGAGCGGGAGACTTATCATGGCGTAGATGCGTTTAACAGCATGGTCGCATTGTCTGCTAACAACTTTGACGCCTCTATTCAAGACGGTTCACGCAACGTACGAGGACATCAATTCTTTAAAGGGATCTTTCCCGTGATTACTGGGAGCCGTTACGTCTTTACCGAGTCTGATGTACCGGAGGGTATAATGCGAGACAGGGCGTTGTCTGCGAAATCGACAAGTTTTTCCCCTACACACCTTAAAAATTATCCCGTGCAGGGATTTGCGGGAGAGATTGTGCAGATTATGTTGGGTGTGCTGTGGCGACACTTTTTAATGACCAACAACTACAATAGACTGGCCGTGCTCATTAACACGGTACACGATTGTGTGTGGATTGACTGTCATGTGGATGTGTTTCTTCAGGTTGCGGAGGAAGTGGAGAGAATTATGAGTGACGTGCGGGAGGTTCTTAACAGTCTCTATCCAGAAATGAACATCACAGTGGATTTTCCATGTGACGTTGTTGCTGGCGAGAACATGGGTGCGCTGCGCCCCATTATTCGCGAGGAGACACTTTAATGGTGCGGGCATGACGAGAAATTCAGGCGCTGATGTTGTTCTGTTTGTTTTTGTGGACCCTAGTTTCCAAGTAGTAATAAACCCATAGACTAATAGAAAGAGTTCACCTCGTAGAAAGCAGCGACCATTTTCAGTGGGGTCTGCTGACGTGAAGAAGCGAAGGAAAGTGATTCCTGTAAAGAAGCAGCAAAAATAAAACAAACAAAAAACAGAAAGCAACAAGTATCTCTGTGATGAAGTTCACTGTGCTCCACTGGGTGCCTTTTCTTCTTCGTTTTTTTCACAACCCGGACGTCTGTGCAGGTGACTTGACTAAAGAACAGATGCATGGTTTTATTAAATTTTCTTCTTGCCCTGTGCGTTTTTGTTTCATCTTTGTTTTCTGCAGTCTACAAGGGCAATGAGAATGGAGAATGAAAGTGATTACCAAAACTGGGGTATTTCCAAGGAACTTGAGGCCGTCTCAACGCCACTGACCCCAACGCCTCTGCTTCCTTCGGCGCATCTCCTTTCCTCTGTGTGTATCGAGACTACCAGAGAACGTCTTGCACTTTTGCACAGTATCATTCAGCGTTCACTGGAGCACGCGGAGATTCCAAGCCCACCGACGAATAAGGTGCATGTAACTTTTCCTACTCCCGATTGTCAAGGATCCTCAGCGTCGACGACGGGAGAAACTGCCCACCTCAACTCCATGGAACAGCTTGTGCTGGCCCAGTTTGAGAGCCTGGGTCGAACTGACATTTTACTGGGACAGTCGGAGTCGTACGCTGCAGCACGAGAAAGGTGGTATAGGGATATGATGCTGATGAAGATTCAGATTTGGGGGGCGCATGCCTTTTCTTCGTTTGACAACATCTCTTTAACAGGGGAATTGACGAACTGTGAAACATTCCACTGTAATACAAAGAGTGTGGTTGCGAAGGTGTCCTATGCAGGTGTGGATGCTGCTACCATGACTGTACCTTCTTTTTCCGTCAGGGAAGCCTTGATGAGTCTATTGTGGCAGGAAAACAATGAGCGTCAGACCTTGTTACTGGAAGAAATATCGGAGTTTAATGCTCTTATTCTGGGCATTGGTTCGGCTGGGCACTATTTGGTGTTTTCTAAAAGGCGGGACGAGTTGGTGGGGAACTTGAGGAGGGTGCTGTTGCAGCCAAGCATCAGACCAATGACATTGCGCAACTTCTCGTTCGGTGCGAGGCTGAAGAAGTCGCAGAGGCGGAAGTAGACGAACTGGGACTCGCATCTGAGGGTTGCGAGCCGCTGTACACAAAATGTGATATTTCCGTGCAAACCTCCTTTTTGTATTGTGCCAATGCCCTCACTGGATGCGTTGCCGAGCCGGGATAGCGTTAGCGAGGTACACACAGGGTCTTCTCCTAGTGATGATGGGACGGAAGTAAATGAAATGACGTTGGAAAAGGAAGATTCGCTACCGACAACGGAGTCGATGATGGAGACATCATGCCGCCAACAGCAGAACGTAGATGATTGCGGCTTTTTACTCGCCCTTGCGATGAGGCGGGTTATGAAGAAGCCAGAGGGTGAGTATCCATGTATTGCCGGCTTGTTATACCGCAGTCGCGTCCCCTATGCAGTGTGGCAGCTCCGCTTCCACCAGTTTGCGGGCAGTGTTTTACGTTTCTCAAAGCCGTCACCGGGTGGAAAACGCGCTCGCTGGTGGAAGGTCTTGACTGGTCGCGAACTCTTACATGTCGAGCTGGATAACGGCAACACTGTCATTGGGGAGGCACATCCACCAAACTGCTCTCATGGACAAAGTTGCATTTCAATATATTTTAAAAAACGCACTGAAGCCGCTCCTCGACGGCTGCGCCTGTGCAGCGCAAAGCAGCGAGATACACTTGCGTGGTTCTTTGCTCTCCGCTATGTGACACAACAGATGGATTGCCCCAGTTAGTAACGCACTAACATGAAAGAAGTGGTGCTTTTATCGTCTTGTTAACGCTATGATTTTTATTTTTGTTTTCCCTTTTCGCCGTATTGCATAGAAGGTGTTCTGCTGCGAATTCCACGTCTCTCAGTGGGACCTTTTCCTCTGTTTGTTATCATCTTTTTTTGTTTTGTTTTTCATTGTGACATTGGGCAGTTTTTTCCTTTATTATTATTATTATTGTTGTGCTGCGCCGTTGGCAGGGGGTTGACGTCTTGCGAAAGTTGATGTTTGTTGTGTACATACTGCTCCTTCCCCGTTCCGTTGCTTTTACATGCATTATGTACCGCATCCTTTTTTCTCTGTGTCCGTGTGTGTCTTAGGGAACTACGTGTGACGCTCTTTGAGCGTGTAATATTTTCAAGGATAAGGAATAAAACAATAGCAACAACTGTAAGTCAAAAAGCAAACAAAATACACACACAAACACAAATATACATAGTAAAGGGCCCCCAAAACACTGTTCCAATGATTGGCATTCTTGTCTTGTTGGCGGTGATCACGCTGGTGACAATCAACCACGTGCTCTCCCGAATGCGGTTAAAGCCCGTCCGCACCAATTACGACTACGATGCCATCGTTGTGGGTGGAAGCATCGCTGGGCCGGTGGTGGCGAAGGCACTTTCAGCTCAAAATCGGAAGGTGTTGCTGCTTGAGCGCGCGCTCTTTACCAAACCAGATCGTATCGTTGGTGAGCTTTTGCAGCCCGGCGGGATCAATGCATTGAAGCAAGTGAACATGGAGGGATGTGCCACCTCTGTGGGCATGCCCTGTGACGGGTACCTGGTGGTGGACGGAAAAGGACATCAGGTAAAGCTACCCTACAGGGCGGGCTTTCAAGGCTATTCTTTTCACTTTGGGGAATTTGTCAATAACCTAAGGGAGAATGTCTGGTTGAACTGTGCTGAGAACGTGACGATGCTGGAGGCGACAGTAAATGAGGTGCTGTTGGAGAAGACGGGCCTTCTCGAGCGCGCCTACGGTGTAGCGTACTCCATTGCAGCGGACTACAAGGTGCCGGAGGCGCCATTCAAGGAGGACACGCCAGTGGACCGTCAGTCGACAACAACAATGACAGATCAACGCGTCGCAACAGCGCCACTCATCATTATGTGCGACGGCGGCTCCTCAAAGTTCAAGGCAAAGTACCAACACTACACTCCTGCGCGGCAGTACCACTCAAATTTTATTGGGCTTGTTGTTCGGAATGCTCAGTTGCCAGTAGAAAAATATGGCACAGTATTTTTTGGAAAAACAGGTCCCATTCTCTCTTATCGACTTGATCCAAAGGAGCTTCGCATGCTAGTTGATTACAACAAACCAACTCTACCAGGTTTGGAACAGCAAAGCAAATGGCTTATTGAAGAAGTGGCACCCTGCCTTCCAGTAGAAATGCGTTCGGATTTTATTTCTGCTGCAAAGGATACATGTGGCATTCGTTCCATGCCTGTAGCACGTTATCCCCCAACGTTTCCATCGATCAGAGGCTACGTGGGCTTGGGAGATCATGCTAATCAGCGTCATCCACTGACTGGGGGTGGTATGACATGTGCGTTTAACGATTCACTTCTTTTGGCAAAAAATCTTGCTGACATTCCAAGCCTGCGCAGCAGTGACATCAACGAAATGGCGGAGATTGAAGATGGAATTCAAGCAGCTATATTGAATTACACACAGCGGCGCTTTTGGCACTGCAGCTGCATCAATATTCTTTCTTGGGCTCTTTACGCTGTATTCAGCATTCCCGCCCTGCGTGATGCATGCTTTGATTATTTTATGCTTGGAGGTGACTGTGTAGATGGCCCAATGTCACTGCTCTCTGGCCTGGAGCCCGGACCGTTTCAACTGCTGTTTCACTACTACCGTGTGATGGTTTATGGTGTATTTAACATGCTTACAGGCAGTGGTGTGTACAGTTGTCACGGGACGATGCCTAGCTTATTTCAAAAATGCTTTAATATGGTCACATTCGTGGTGAACCCATTCCGTATTGCTGAGGCCCTGCGTATTCTTATCGTTGCTACTCTGGTGGTTGTCCCCCTGGCATATCAAGAGTCTGTTTCGTTTTGGAGACTGATGGATCCCACGAGTCTTGTTGCCAACGTGGTGCGGAAGATAAAGATTTTGCTATACCGGGCCTGGCTCGATGGAAAAAAACGAAAACCGGTGGGTATATAGATGAAAAGCGTAGCGAGTTTTTCGCCCATGCCCTCTTTGGTAGTAACAAAAGGAAAGGAATCAGTGCGGAGCAGGATCGTCGCATATGTAAAGTTGGCGAGGGGAAGGGGGAAGTCGTGTGGCAACTGGGCAAGCGGCATTGAGAACAAAACTGGGTGAGGGAAAATGAAAAATGAAAACAACGACAATAAATGCAAAATACATTTGTTGTTGTTGTTGTTGTTTTTTTTTTTTTGGGGGGGGGGTGGGGGGAACCCATATATGGAATACAAATTTGTTTTATATTTCTTTTGTTCGCTGGGGCCATTCTGTGGCATTGTGAGGGGTTTGTCATGGCGCACATGATGAGCCAAGGCCTGGAGCCCACAGTGTGACGTGCATGGGAGTAAAAAGGTGTGTGCAAATACCGCACCTTGCCCTGTTATTTATGTGTTACTGAACGTCCGAAGCTCGACCTCTCCCGTCCAAAGGCAGGAACAGAGTGGGATAAGTGAAAGGAGAATACGACAACATGAAACACCAACAAAAAAAAAAGATAAAAAGAAAACAAGCAAGACAACAACTTCTTTCTACTCATTGTTGTGTTTGTTCAATGCCGCTCGTTGCGGGGCGATAAATTAGTCATTGTAGTGGTATGTGATTTCATAAGAAACCAGCAAGAGGGCGAGGAGAGAAAGAGTCTACGTGTGTAAAATTGTAGGTGTTCTCGTTTTGTTGTTGTTGTTGTTGTTTTTTTTTTTTTTGCGTTCTTCGTTCCCTTTGCCGTTGACTCATGTGTTGTGTGGTTTTTTTTATTTGGCGCAATTGTTTTTTTTTTTTTTGTTTGGCTTGTTTATCTTTCCTTTCATTTTTGCCTGCGTGCGTGTCCGTAGTGTCTTTTCGAGTTTTGCCGCGGCGGTGAATACACCGACACACACGCATTACAACTCCCAATAACAGCAAGCCAGACGTGGGGAGGGGAGAAAGGAAAGGAATAGTGGTTGCTGTCTACACCCACATCTGCCTTAGATCCTCCACCCGAAAAGAGTCACACAAAAGGTAGGAAGCAAAAATACGGCGGCCGCAAGGCGGGAACCACGCACACACGATGGACCCGCAGCTTCAGGATCTGCTGGAGCAGGGAGGTCTTTCGCACACCATTCAGGGATTCATTGATGGCGGTGTAACCAACATCCAACAGCTTAAGCAGCTCACAATGCAGGACTACCAATCTGTGGGCGTCATTGTTATGACCGATCGTCGTAAACTCTTTGAGCTCATTCAGTATATGAAAAGAGAGCAGGCTAATGTTTCGCCTCTCCCTGTCTCTTCCTCTTCTGCGGAGGTCCTGCGCAATGCTGATCATAACTCCCATGCAGCCGCTGCAACTGCCGCACAAAATACTACGCCATCCCACCGTGGTGGCACACCCTCAGGCGCACAACGTAAGGCGGATAATGAAATGTCTGCGTTGTATGAAACCAAGCAAAGTTCTACACTTCGACGAGAACCTGAGCGTGTGGGCGAGGACCTGAACACCTCGACATCGAAAACGACCTCAAGTTCACGACCTGTGAGTCGACCGACACGTAGCTCCCCCACTCCAGTTGTACGCAGAGCAGGAGAAACCGCGACAACGAAACGAAAAGTGAGTCGAATTATTGTTGCCATCCGCAAACGTCCACTGAATAGCTCCGAGTTGAATGATGGTCTCTACGATGTTTTGGCCACAGACCCAGATAATATGCACGTCATCGCCCTTTTGGAACCCAAACAAAAAGTGGATTTGACAAAATACATTGAGAAACACCGCTTTACGTACGACTTGGTGCTAGATGACAGGCAAAATAACCGTGATGTCTATGAAAAAACATGTAGATCTCTTATTGAGACTGTTTTTGACGGTGGGTGTGCGACGTGTTTTGCCTACGGTCAAACAGGGAGTGGGAAAACGTACACGATGCTAGGAAAAGATGCCCAGGAGGGTATCTACCTTATGGCTGCACGAGATTTATATTCTCGATTGGAAGCTGGTATGAGTATTGTGGTTTCTTTCTTTGAGATTTACGGAGGAAAACTTTTTGACTTACTCAATGAGCGCGAAAAGCTTGCCTGTCGCGAGGATAGCCGTGGCGTCATCAATGTTTGTGGTCTGACGGAACACCGTGTCGACGACACGGGTCATCTAATGCGTGTGATAGACTATGGAAATTCTATTCGTGCGGCCGGATCGACGGGCATGAACGCAGATTCTTCTCGTTCTCATGCTATTCTTCACATCACTGTGTTGAATGCTAAAAACCGTTTTTTTGGTAGGTTCACTTTTATTGATCTTGCCGGTAGTGAGCGGGGGGCTGACACGCTTGACAGCGATCGCACAACGCGGCTTGAGGGGGCGGAAATTAATAAGTCACTTCTGGCACTAAAGGAGTGTATTCGGGCCCTTGATCAAAATCACCGTCATATCCCCTTTCGTGGGTCGAAGCTTACGGCGGTACTTCGGGATTGCTTTACAGGAAATAGCCGTACAGTAATGATAGGCAATGTCAGTCCCGCAAGTGGAAGTTGTGAACATACGCTCAATACGCTTCGATACGCAGATCGCGTAAAGGAATTAAAGAAGGATAAATCGTCTCGCGTTGCCGCCGAGGAAATTATGATTGGGCAGATGCCGAGTGAAGAGGTGGAAACTCTCGGTCTCAGTGGGAACTTTGCCCAACGGCGCGCACGTGAGAAAAAGCTGGGAACCCGATCCTCCAGTCAGCTCTCGCAACGTGAACAGGGGACACCCAAAATGAAACCCCTATGCAGGTACGGTAGTAATTACCGACCCCAGGCACCTCCAACTCGCATGCGAGCAGCCTCAAAGGACGAAGATTATCCCAATTTCTCAGATAGTATCCGCCCCAGTAAGTTTACCAGCAGCGGACCTGTAAAAGGTTCTACTAGCTATGCCAAAGCAACACCGAAGCACAGTCGTGTTGCCAGTGAAGTGTCGGGGCGTGCTGTTAGTCCGTATGATATGGCTTCGTTTGCGAGTGTGGACTCCTTAGATGATGATGAGGATAACGTGATTTTTGGCCATCGCCGCCACATCGACGCCATGATGGAGTTACTGAAGCAGGAGATGACAGAGCTAAATGGGGTTGAGATGCCAGGCGCCTCCATTGAGGTGTACTGTAGAAATGTTGACAGCATTCTTACACGTCAGGCGAAAAACATTGAGGGGGTTAGGAGCATGATCAGAGAATTAATGAAGCATGTAGAGGCCCGTCAGCGACATTAGTTGGTCTGGAGAGAGAGAGAGAGAGAGAGAAGGGGGGTGGGGGTGGGGGCGGGAGATGGATAAGAGAATAAAATGAGAGAAATCAAAAAGAAATTGAAGGTAACAACAGCAGCACATACACACACGCACAAAAGCGTTTGAGAAGAGTACTCTCCATGTGTTCCCCATATGCCTCCTCCTCTTTATCTCCGTTTTTCCGGAGAAAAGGAGTTGTCCTCATCATTGCCATTATTATTTTTGTTATTTTCATTTTTTTTTTGTTTGCCCCACCAGGGGCGTGGGGGAAGAAGAAACAAAACTGCGAACATAACAACAACGGAAAAAAGGTAGCCTAAACACCCACTAGAACATAAAATCCGTTTAGAGATTTTAGGTGAGGGACTCGCAGTCAGGGGAGAGAGTGAGAGACAGATAATGATGCTGCACCACTTGGTAGAGTGTGTGAAGGATCGGGGGGTGGGGGTGGTGAGCGGGCATAATGCCCAAAGATAATTGCCCTCCAGAGAAACAGCTACTACAAAACTACCATGAGGTGGGAGTGAGAGAAAGAAAACGAAGATGGTAAGAAGGAAGAGAGGGAGGAGGTTTTTTCATGTGAGCGGGCCGGCGAAAAGAAAAAGGGGCTGAGGGGAGAAAACCTGTTCTTTTGGATGTTTGGTTCTTTGGTGACTCTGTCGAGGTGCCCCCTTTGCTGACGCGGGTGTTTTTCTTTTTTTTTTGTCTTTATTTCTAGAAAACAATCATGACAGGAGACCTTCCGCCT